GACAAGATATGTCTTGTAGGAAAATTAAACATGATCTGTAATTTCAAGACAATGCAATATTTATATAAGGCATGGACCAACAAACTCCCCTAAAGTCATGGTTGACCACAAGACTAAGTCGAGGCCCACGCAGTGGGCCCGTGAGACTAAGTCAATGCTCATCAATTTGGGCCTTGGAGACCTGCTCGAGATTTTGGACCTTGGCCGCTCGGGCTATCTTCTTATGCCTCGAGCTATGCACTCCCAAGCGGGATCCTATTATTGAGTTGTTTCTAATATCTCCATCAACTTGTACAATACAATTGTTAATTTGTTGTTTTCCTTGTTAATTACTACTTTTCGCCATTTTAGGTACTTAATTTTAGAATCTAATTTGAAATCGAAATTTGAGATATGTGACTAAATCCGAAAAGGAAACAAATTCGATGTGTTTAAAGTTTGTTTAAAATGGATTGGATATAAAAAAAAAATTAAATTGAAAATCAAAAGGGTACAACGTTTGAAAAATTGATTCGTCCAAACTTGTCTAACGCACACTACTAACTGGTAGGAAACTTTTACTATTAGGTGTTGATTTTGTGACTATTGTGCTAGTTAGCTGGTAGGCCAACACTACTGTAAAATCAATGAATAAGTTACAGTATATTTAAATAGCACCATATATAATAGAACAATACTGAATTTGTAATGAAACAAGTATTGCTCCATTTACATGTGCTTCCGGCAACATATAGGATCAGGCCAGGGCAAATCTAGAGGGAGGGTACCACCCTCACCCCTTATATATATACGTATGTGTATATATACATATATAACAGTACTTTATATATAACAAAAATAAAATGTATATAAAATTATTAGATGTTCAAGTAGTATAGCATTTTGTTCTCTTAAGATTTTATATTATATATCCTGGGTCAAACCCCAACAACAATATCCTATCTCAAATTTTGTAAAAGATGTTTTTTAATTCATTTTAACTTCGTGCTTACTCAAAAATATTTCCAAATCCACCCTTGTGGAGGATCTGCAAGATGGCTATGCTAGAATTTTTCTGATAAAATATTCTCTAACAACAACAATAACATCATCAACATCAAGAACAACAACAAAAATAATAATATAATAATATAATAATAATAATCAAAATTATATATTTCACTAATAACTCATTCAACCAGAAATTCACACAGAGAGCCAAAGTGAAAGTATTCCTATTAATCTCAGGTCTTATTTATTACTTGTTTCTCAGAATTGAAATGATGATTTAGTACTTTGATCAACATATCAAAACAGCTTTTAATTAATGTTTATAAATGGAGGAGATTCCTCAGGTTCGGGTGGACGAGCGAATGGGGGCCTAGGTGGTATCTTTAAAAGAATACAGTACTTATCAACATCGTTAAGATAGTCACAACGGTAATAACTCAAAGGATCGGGAGATTCACAATCCTTATCTGTCTTGCATGGCAAACGATGAAAATTCTCTGCTTCACCACCACTCCAAATACCTGCAATCATTATATCAACATACAATATTACTGTTTTCACAAATCTTATTGTAATCTAGGACTGGCGGGCTATAATGCACATTACCCAAATCACACTAAAAGATTAAATCCAATCAATTAGACAGTCTAATCATATATATGTAGTCTTATAAACTCTCTTATATTTTTAATGTAGACTCTTAAAATATATCATTATGAAGTTGAAGATCAGATTTTACCAGAGAAATTAATTTAATGTCGGTATATGATATACCCATAGTAAAATATTTTATGGGTGAAAGCTATAAAAGATGAATGAACTTACATGAAGCAACCACCAACAGAAGGAAGAGACTTGAAAAGAGTTTGGAAGCCATGAAGAAGATGATATTGGTCTGAACAGATTGATAGTGATGATAATATATATATTGGTGAATATTTTGACTGAATTGGTAAAAAAAGATATATTTTTAATTTGGTAACAATTTAATTGGAGGAATTAATTAAAACGAAATCGTAAAGGATATATTTTTAATTTGGTAACAACTTAATTGGAGGAATTAATTAAGACGAAATATGTATTCAGGCAAAAAAAAAAACCCTAAGATAAAGAAATAAATAAATATATATATATACACGATCATCAATCCATAAAAAGGATTGACCAATACAAGCATAATAAAAGGGAGGAGGGAATCTAAGATTTTTTTCATATGTAGATGAAATTTTGAGGGATAATACTTTTGAATTATCATATATTTGAATAATATAGTGATCAAAACAAACAAAAAAAAAATTTATAATAATAATTTACAAATAATACTAAGCTAACACCCACATATATACACATATATAATTTAACATTCATATAAATATTTAATTAAAATATAATTTATAGTTAATTTAATTGTTATATGATAATTTTAATAAAATGATAATTAAAAATAGGAAAAAGATATGATAGATGTAGTTGTATGGTAAGATTGGTGGACATATTAAATATTAACGGTGTTATAACGGTGTAAGGGTGATTTTCTCCAATACAAGTGAAATGTACAACAATTAAAGCAAAATATATATATATATTTATTAGCATATAAAAAAAAAGGGATAAAAATCAAGAACATAACTTGTATTGATACATATTATGTTTATATATATATATATATATATATATATATATATATATATATATATATATATATATATATATATATATATATATATATATATATAGGCTTCGAATCCGATGCAACCCCTATGATACATGAGATCATGAGATCTCATGATATCCATTGATTCATTTTCCATGAATGATTGAGATTATAAGAGATTCTTAAAGTAATTAAGGATATATTGATATCAAAAGGATTAAATAGTAATTGTAGTTATTTGTTTAATTATGAACATAATTGAATTAGAATCTTCTGCACTTTATTAGGGAGATTATGAATGGAAATTGATATATAGAATTATTCTACCACCTCTGTTGAACATAAAAATTGTGTGAAGAATACAGTGGGGTGAAAACGAACGGGTGCGACTGCAGAAACAACCAAGAAGCACACTTCAAGAATGACTTGTGGCAACACAGGTATGTGCATATACGTGTTCAGGCGTGTGCATATGTTGAGGATATTGGGTGTGTGCGTTTTTGTATAGGTGTTTGCATTGTAGTGAAAAGTAAGAGCTTAGTAGATATAGTATTGCACATGGAAAATTTTTTATTGTACTTTCATGCGTAGGTGTGTGCATGTTAATAGTTAATGCTATTGGGGTGTGTGCACGATTTAGGTAAAAGGTATGATGGTGTGTGCATTGGTGTAGTATGGCGTGTGCAAATTACAGGGCCTGTGGACTTTGCAACATGTCGGTTTTTTGTTTTGTTTTGTTTTGGTGTGTACGTGTTTCATGTCGTTTTTTTTTGTTTTCTATTTTTTTTTAGAATCTAAAAGCACTTGGTTTGTGCACACTTCATACCGTGTGGGGGCGTGTATGGGTATATGGTTTTGTTTGTTTGGTGTGTCCGTTATTTCATCCGAGCATGTTCATAACATTGTGTTTTATGAAGGCATTGCAACATTGAGCGTGCTTTTTTTTGCTTTTAGGTTTGTGCAAGTTTATTGCAATTACGTAACCAACAAAACCCAACTATATGACTTTGAGTTTTGTATAGGCTTTTGCAATTTCGGGTTTTTTTTTTTTTTTAATTTGATGCGTAGGTGTGTGCACGAATTAGTGGTAGCGTGTGCGTTAGCCTGTCAAAGGAACTTTGCATCGTGTCGATTATTTTTTTTACGGTGGTGTGTGCATTCGTGTGGTATAACGTGTGCAAATTTCTGGCAATGGGACTTTGCATCTTGTTGTGGTCTTTTTTTTAAAAAAAAAAATTATTTCTGATGGGATGGTGGTTGCATTTATGTAGGTGGGTGTGTGCAAAGTCTAAGAGTGATTTGATGAGTTGTGAGTGTTTCGTGGGGGGCGTGTATGGGTATATGTTTTTTGTGTGTGCGTTACTTCATTCGGGCGTGTGCATAACAAAGAAAATTTCTGGAAGAAGAAGAATTGTAGCTAGTCTAATACAATTTATTAAAACCTGGAATGTTTCTGTTAATTAAACTCATCATAGCTCATGTAGCTTTTATTGAAACAGTGATCACAAATAAAATAAAATCTGCTCCATTCCAACTAATAATGTCAGTAAACCATGATATAAGGTATCCATTGCAATAAATCATAAGAGAGACAATATGTTAACAGTTTAACTTATGAATTCAGTTTTATATGCCGGGTGTCCACTGAAAGCTAAAGCTCAAGAATAACAAGTCTTGAGCATAATACTTAAATGGTGTGACATATGGAAAAAGGGGAAGCTCAGAACATATGCAAAGCCTGAGCTCAAGTTATTAACTTCATTTTACAATAGCAAGCTTCACATCACATACTGGTTCAACTCCAAAAATACAATGTTGGCCACCTAGTGAATTTGTGAAGGATTTTGTTACTGTCAGAATTGTACACAAACCATTCTATTACCCAAGAATAAATAGAAAAATGAAATTAGGAGTAATGTTACAAATGGCACAAAACCTTGGTCCACGCATACTGGTTCAACTCCAAAGTAGGGATGTCTCCAGTGGAATTTGCATAATTAATTCTCAAAGGACCTTCAACAAAACATAAACGCCAGGTTTGTTTGAGAGTTTTAATAATGTAAACATAAACGACATACCACACCTGTGCACACACCATGGTCAACATCTAACGCACTCACCTAATTCACCAATGCACCAACCGCACAACACACATGCACACACATAAGTCATTCATACTTCTACCTAAAATTAAATCCAAACATGCCTCCCCTAATTTCCACAAGATTATTCTGTATTCCTTACAAGCTCTGTATACCATAGTTTGCAGGAAAAGAAATTAAAATTAAAGCAGGAAACACATAGTTTGCATGAAAAAAAATATAGAATTAAGAATTATTTGAAGTATACTTAAGATGGAAAATAATCATGCTCAAATTAATGGGCGAAATTCCATTAATACCCTCCCATTTAATAGATTTTTAACCCCAAACCTAACGGAGGACTAAAATGGTTAACATTTTCAAAGTCGAGGACTTCATTGGATAAAAAAAATTGTCGAGGACCAAATTAGTAATTTCACAATAGTCGATGGACCATTTCGGTAATAAACTCTTTTTTTTTATTAATTGCCTTTTGCCCTTCCCCCATGAATCAAAGAAGTTAATCTATCATAAAACAATTAAATTAGTGGTATGAACTGATGCTAAACAAGAATCAAATGAAAGAACACTACCTTTTATACTCAGTCCATGTTCCATGAGCAAACATCCGAAGCAAGTCGAGGTAAATAGAATTCTCAGCTCCTTCGAGCTGCATACATAAATCAACAACTATGAATCAGAAATGAAAAAATCTAAAATCACCAAAACTAAAATGCAAAACTAAAATAATATGTTATGGATGAATAGTATGTAATTTTAAAAAAATATATAAAAAATGCAATGGGTCATATGTCGGGTTGGAAACCTCTAGAACGTTGGGAACGGAGAGAATCTCGGAGAAACCGAAAAGAGAGGGATGAGAAGTGGCATCCGCGACGACTGTGGCTAAGGCAGAACCTTCTGACACTTGCTTCACGAAGTACTCTATATGCTTCGCTTGCCTAGCTTTCTTCAATATCCATCTTCCAATTTCCAATCTTCTGCAAACAAATAAAACTAAATCTGTATACAATCGTGGATGATGACTAACAATGGCATTTCATTCTTTACTTGTTTCTTCTACAGTGTAAACCAATTTATTAAAAAAAAAACATGAACCCTAGCAACAAAATCCTACATTGGTACTCAATCAACGAAGCACAAACGACGACCACTGCCGGCGCCAGAGGCCGATAATGCCGGACTACACATCAAAGAACTACAAACCCAAGAGAAATACAAAATCCTAAAATCCAACCCAAATCCCTTCGGAACAGAGCAAACCAACAAATCTCCCAGAAAAAAAAAATCCCCCAAAACAAACAAAAAAGGGAAAAAGAAAAAATAAAGAATCGATGAAAATAGTACCGGTAGTGGAAGCAGAAGAGATGCCCCTAAGCCGCTTAGACTGTCTCCTGTTGGAACCAGACATGAAGAATACTTGGATGCCGTGTATACCGGAGGGATGAGGCGACAGGAAGAAGAGCGGGCTGCGGAAACGAAGAGACTGCACAAAAAAGCTCTAGAAACCGAGTGCAAGTGGAGAGAAACAAAAAACCACTCCTATTTTATCTCCTCACATAGGCAAATTAACGGCGCAAATAAAGACTTCTCACAATAAAGACAAAGATGAATTACAAAACAACCCCTGCCTACCTATAAACCCAGCGCACGTGTGTTTAATTACCACACCATCTGAACCGTTAAAAAAACAACATCAACGATCAGGGAGTATGCTTACGGACTCGGGTAACTAGGGGGTGTGCACCGGATTCAAAATCTATATATATATATATATATATATATATATATATATATATATATATATATATATATATATATATATATATAGGGAAGGGATCAGGTGCATTTGTGGCTTCCCGTGCGGATGTGCGGTGGATTAATGTGTGTGAGGTTTATACTTAATGTGCGTGAGATTTGTACTCAATGTGCCTGAGATTTGTACTTAATGTGTGTCATGTTAATATGCGTGAGTTTTGTACTTAATGTGCCTGAGTATTGTGTTTAATGTGCGTGAGATTTGTGCTTAATGTGCGTGAGTATTTCAGAATTACGAGCTCAGAAGGAAGCAGAACAGAAACTCACGCACATTAACGCCCAAACTTCTTGTTACTTCTTCCTTCAATTTGGTCATGGATTCTGGATTATCAGCTACCTTCAATGCAGTTGAATGTTTATATAAATGACGCACGCACAGTAAAATTTGCACAGCATCTAAGTGTGGATTTCTATTGTATTATTCCCATAATTCTGAACCACCATAGCTCGTCTCCGCATTATCATCATCAGGGAGGGGACAAATGGCTACTGGGGATGGGGAAGAAGCTGACATCAATATTTTCTGCTACATTTTACACATTCACGCACATTAAGTACAAATCTCAGGCACATTAAGCACAACACTCACGCACATTGAGTACAAATCTCACGCACATTAATCCACCGCACATCCGCACGAGAAGCATTCAACCGCACTGGAACCTTTCACTATATATATATATATATATATATATATATATATATATATATATATATATATATATATATATATATATATGTATGTATGTATGTATGTATGTATGTATGTATGTATGTATGTATGTATGTATGTATGTATGTATGTATGTATGTATGTATGTATGAAAATTAGGGGTGTATATGAGCCAAGAGGTTCGGTCAAAGCTTGGCTCGAGCGCGGTCAACTTTCGAGCCGAACTTAAGCTGGCTGGTTTCGTAATCGAACCGAGCTCAAGATCAAATATTTTTGGCTCGTGGCTCGTCGAGCCCCCCCCCCCCCCCCCACACACACAGACACACACATACAGGGACGGAGGGACATTGTAAGTCCAGGGGGCCTTGCCACCCCCCCCCCCCCTCCTCCAAAAAAAAATAGTAATAGTAGGGGCGGAGGATTTAGAGAAATATATAGTAACTGGGGGCCTTGGGCCCTTACCACCCCCGCGCTCCCCCCCCCCCCCCTTCCCCCAAATTTTTTATTTTTTTAGTTTTTCACCTCTTTGTGGAAGGAATAACAACTTTTGTGTGAATTTTGAACCTTTTGCTATATTCAAACGAGATGCATTCTGTGTTTTTATTCAGTCGTATTCACAAGATTTACAGACATATGTTCACCAAAGCGAATGCATAATCAAAGTATATATTTGGCCGCCCTATCAAAGTATTTGCCGTCTCCAAACAAAAACTTTTAGAATAAGTTTTCAAAATCTTATTTGATTTGCAACTGGCCCTTTTGCCAAAAATATAATTTCTTCTTCTTGAACATACACGATCAAATATTGTCTAAGAGGCTCAAAATATCTTCTTCTTGAAATATGTATAAGCCAACAAATTTTATACATATTTCTTATTCCTTTTTTTTTTTGTTTCCCATATTCATTTTTCTAAAATTAATGATTTTTTTTCTTATTGATCCACACTTTTGATATAAATTTGTTTAAAGGGTTTTGACAAATTAAAGTTTATATGTGAATTATCCATATTTAAGAAATGTTTGCTCTTTGGTGAATGGTGATTCTTTGTTGGCTCACGGCTCACGGCTCTTGATTATTGGTTGGTGAAAATTAGAAAATCGAACATTTATCCTCTTGTGTTCAGAGTAGTAACTTTCATTCTCACACTTTTAGTATCTACAACTACTACAGAATGATTTTTTCCTGCCATGAATATAGTAAAGACTACACTTCGTAACAAAATGGAGATGAATTTCTTAATGATTATTTGTTAGTATATATTGAAAAACAAATTGCAAAACAATTTAGTATAGATTCAATTTTATATATATATATATATATATATATATATATATATATATATATATATATATATATATATATATATGATTTTCGTGACATGAAACAAAGACATTCAAAATTTTAGTAGATTTGTAATATAATGATGTGTTTTGGAATATGTTAAATGAATGTTAATGAATTTTATTATCTCTCTCAAATTGTGATTGGCCCCCCGCACCTTCGGATCCTGGCTCCACCCCTGCACACACACACACACACACACACACACACACACACACAAACACACACACACACACACACACACACACACACACATATATATATATATATAGAAAAAAGTTCAAATGCGGCGGTGCGGCGGAATTTTTGAATACACCAACAATGTTAACATGTACCAACAGTGTAAGGAAACACACCACAATGAAATGTAAAAATACACCAAAAAATACATAACAGACCCAAAAATATACCATATAACTCACCACCCCCAATGGTGTATTTCCGAACAATCGTGTTTTTACTCACACCTAATGATGTGTTTTTGGTGATGCGTACCTAATTTGTGTGTTTTTTTTTGCGGGACCAACTGTTAGACATAAATAATCTAACTATACTGAATAATAATACGAGATACCTGACCTCGTATAAGCGGAAGCGATAGTCGTGTTGATCTCCAGTAACAGTTGATGTTCTTAATGTGTTGCCTCTTGAACGGTAGACCGTTAGCCATATGTATTTTCCTAACGTTGATGGTGTATATTTGTAGAACTATTGGTGACGCCGCACCATAAGACACCGCGGCACTTGAACCTTACTATATATATATATATATATATATATATATATATATATATATATATATATATATATATATATATATATATATATATATATATATATATATATATATATATATAGGGATGCACTCAGGTGCGAATAAGTGCTCAGGAGGGAAATGCGAACGAATCAGCGCGCGACACGTGTCCAGATCTAATAACTTAAAAAAACGCGGTGGCATTTTCGTAAATAATTGAACATCGAAGTGCAAGTAAAATCACTTACAAGTGCACCTACTTTCACCTATAAATGCATGTAATTTTGCCTTGTTAGCATTCACTTTTCGCAAACATTCATGCACCTGTGTGTGCTTATAACTATTTGTGCAACTATTTATAACTATAGGTGCAACTACTTATAACTATAGGTGCACCTACTTTCACCTATAAGTGCATGTAGTTTTGCCTTGTTAGCATTCACTTTCCGCAAACATTCATGCACCTGGATGTGCTTATAACTATATGTGCAAATATTTATAACTATAAGTGCAACTACTTATAACTATAGGTGCACCTACTTTCACCTATAAGTGCATGTAATTTTGCCTTGTTAACATTCATTGATCTGAGTTCAGTTGGTAGTAATACCCCTGAAAACCACTCGCAAACATTCATACACCTAGGTGCAACTACTTATAACTATGTGTGCAACTACTTAGAACTATAGGTGCAACTACTTAGAACTATAGGTGCAATTAAGTATTGATGCTCAGTGTAAATTTTTACTTGCACCTATAATACATTTTACATGCACTTGTAATACATTTTACTTGCACTTCGATGTTCAATTATTTACGAAAATGCCACCGCATTTTTTTTTAAAAAATCAGTGTTTCTCATCCATTAGATCTGGACACGTGGACGAACAGAATTCATTCCTATTTCGCGTCTGGGCGAAGCATTCGCACCAGAGTGCGATTCTATATATATATATATATATATATATATTTATTTATTTATTTATTTATTTATTTATAGCCGAGCAGTTCATGAGCGGCTCAGTCAAAGCTCGGCTCGAGCTCAATCAACTTCGAACTTGAGCTGAACAGGGCCGGATTTTAGGCTGTGCAAGCTGGGCTACCGCACAGGGCCCCCAGTTTTAGAGGGGCCCCAAATTTTAGAGGTCCAATATTTAATATTTACTGAGCTAGTTTAGATATAAAAATTAAAAGTTTTCAATTAAACTTAAAAGGTTCTATGAAGAGATGATAGTAATGTGTATTTATTGTATTTTTACTGGGAGGTTAAAGGTTCGAAACTTGCATATTAAAAATTATGATTTTGGAGGGCCTCAGT